AAAGGGTTTCAGGAGGCGGTTGGTTTCGGCTTGGGGTTTAGAGTTTCGGGCCCCTTTAAGGGCTCCTCAGTGTTTGGTAGGGTTTTGGGGCTGGCTTGCGCCTGTAGGTTCGGATCCAGGGTGTTAGTGGTGTTGAGATTTGGGGGGTTGAAGGTTTACGGCTTTAGGGCTCAGCCCTTAACTCAAACAAAACTCAACTAAATCTTGTAGTAGCTCAGGTTCAGGACTTTAGACGCCGTTAGAGCATGCATGGGTTACCTCCAGAAACGGCGCACAGTTGAACGCCAGGAGCTCTCGGATTTATACTTCAGGGTGCATGCAGGCCGTGGGGCATTTGGGGGAATGCCCCCCCCCCCCCTCCCCTCCCCCAATGAGCCCTGATATCGCCCAAGTAAGGGAGCTTTGGGGGGAGGGGGGGGGGGGAGGGTCCAAGTAAGGTTGTCGATTATTTGCTTAAGAACCCCCAACAAACACAAGTAAGCATCCCTAGTATATATATAATATCATATGATACAATATAATATAACATAATACTATATATATATATATTTTTTTTTTTTTTTTTGGGGGGGGGGGGGTTCTTAAGCAATTCGTAGTTGTTGGGCTTATATAAATGCTGTCCCTGAACCCTGAAGCCCAAGGGCACTGGGAAGCGAAAGACCCTCCACTCTAAGCCTCATCCTAAACTCGCAACTGCTGTAGACCCTAAAAAACCTAAGTCCTAATCGCAAAACCCCAACCCTGAAACCCCTTAGTTAAGCCCTAACCCTAAACCCTAAGCCCCAAGCGCTAAACCGTAAGCCCTAAGCCCCAAGCTCTAAGCCCTAAACCCTCAACCCTCAACCCTCAACCCTAGACCCTAAACCCTAAACCCTAAACCCTAAACCCTAAGCCCTAAGCCCTAAGCCCTAAGCCCTAAGCCCTAAGCCCTAAGCCCTAAGCCCTAAGCCCTAAGCCCTAAGCCCTAAGCCCTAAGCCCTAAGCCCTAAGCCCTAAGCCCTAAACCTAAACCCGCCCAGAATGCCATCCGCCTCGACGTCGCCGAGCCTTCCGACTTCAGCTTTCGCTCCGCCTCAGCCGCCGGCCTGCAAACTCTTGGAGCCTTACAGGGTTTAGGGTTTAGGGTTTAGGGTTCAGGGGTACCTTCTTGGGGTCCTTATGGTGAGGGAATCCTACTATTGGGGGGACTTTCATGGAGTCCCGAATTTTCGTAAACCCCCAAATGAACCTTAGAAGCTACTATTTGCTTAAGAACCCACAAAGAAGTAAGATTTCTTCCTTTGAAGGGTAATTTAGGGATTATTTCCTTTCTGTGCATTTGTTTATTTCATTTTGTTTTTTTTTTTTGGGGAGGGGGGCTTCTGAAGCAAACAGTCGAGAGAGCTTTCGGTGGTTGAGGGTTTAGGGCTTACAGCTCTTAAGACTTTGCAGGGCTGAGTGTGTTCGGGTTGGTTTAGAACCCTAAACCCCTGACCCCTAAACCCTAAACCCTAACCCTTAAACCCTAAACCCTACACCCTCGCATCTGGGTTAGCAGAGAAACCAAGAAAACTTCGGGTGTTGGGCTTAGGGTTTGCTCAGAATGTGTGTTTTGCAAGCCTTCGCATCCCATCCCAGACAATTATCCGGTCCCCAAACCCCCAAGGATGCAACCTTAGGGTTTAGGGTTTAGGGTTTAGGGTTTAGGGTTTAGGGTTTAGGGGGGGGGGGGGGGGGGGGGGGGGGGGTATTTTCGACGAAATGCACTCATTTCGTGTTCATAAAATTAGTCCCTAGACTTTGAACCCAAAACCTTGAAATCCTGCACTGCGTTTGTTCAATGAAGAGTTTCCTGTGTGCGGCCGCCCTGCTTACTAAATAGATCCATAAGCCTTGATCAGCTTCTTAAATATAGGACCCCTAAACCCTAGACCCTAGACCCTAAACCCTAAACCCTAAACCCTAAACCCTAAACCCTAAACCCTAAACCCTAAACCCTAAACCTGAATTTCTTAGTATAGGATGGTGTAGATGACTGCGATGTAAGGGTTCAAGTGTTATCCAGGAAAGGTGTAGGGACGCCGTCCCGCAAAGTTCAAAATGCTCAGAAAAGTTGTGCGGACATCTGATGTGGCAGAAATGACCTAAGGCCAACATGGGTTGATTTAATGTTCAGGGTACCAAAAGGTCCCTACCTTCGCCACTTTGGGCTTGCATTCCCGAGTAAAGTATCAAAAGGACCAAACCCTAAACCCCAAACCTTAAACCCCAAACCTTAAACCCCAAACCCCAAATCCCAAACCCTAAACCCTAAACCCTGGTTCGCAGCAACTCCCATCTGAGGCAGGTGGCAGGGAGGTGCTCAGTGCGACGGCGGCTTGCCTGCATTTGCCGCCCTTGTAGCACGCCGGGAAATCTAGGGTTTAGGGTTTAGGGGTTTGGGTTTACGGTTTAGGGTATTTAGGGTATTTAGGGTTGAGGGTCTAGGGCCCAAGGACCTACATTTTTTGGCGTTTCGTCGTTGAATCATCTATTCCGACACACACACGAACCAAGTTCTGAGCATCTTACCCAAAACCATACAGGTCCAGGCATGGAGTTTGCCTGAGAATTCCCCTCCACCACTGCCCGCTTTATGGAGTTTGGGATTTACGAAGAACCCCTCTGTGCCCTGCATGTGGGGTTTCGTCTTGCTTTTGGGTTGCTTTGTGGTGGCCTAACCACAAGGCCACAAAGGCTCTTTGTTTGGTCACTTCTCGGCCCATCTTATGTGAAGTAGGGTTTATATTTCTGTTCTTGGTGAGTGTATATAGGGTTCCTTTTTCATATTGGTGAGTGTATATACCGGGTGTCCTTTTTCGGGGTACAAGAAATATAAACCCTGCCTCATGTAGGCTGCCCAAAAAGGGACCATAGTTTAGAGAACTGCCCCATGTGTGTCCTCAAATGCTTTGCCTAGGACCCAGAGTAGGCCCTCATTCCTTTTTTACGGTGCAGCTTACCCCTTATATAAAAAAAATTGACCATTTAGGGTTCAGGGTTTAGGGCCCAAAAGGGACCATCATGTGAAGTAGATCTTGCTGTTATTGGTGAGTGTATATAAGGTTCCTTGTTTAATATTGGTGAGTGTGTCTCCTTTTGGGGGTACGAGAAATAGAAACCCTAAACCCTAAACCCTGCTTCATATTAAGGGGCCATGTAACTGTCCTAAGATTTAGTTTGCCTGAACTGCTTGAAGGACCTGTCCATCACAGTGGGAGCCAGCATCATGGAAGGCGGCCTGCTGCGTCACCCTAAACCCTAAACCCCAAACCCTAAACCCTAAGCCCATGTTTCGGTTTGTCTTTTTTTTTTTTTGGGGGGGGGGGGGGGGACGGGAGTGGAACTCGAGCGAAATGGCGCAGAACTTCCCCAAGACCATGGGTTCTTCATGTGGGGTCCCAAGGGTGCCATACTATATAGGGGGCCCACAAAGGGAGAGAACTACTCATATGAAGAAGAGTTTATATTACTGTTATTGGTGGGTGTATATAAGGTTCCTTGTTTAATATTTGTGCATGTATAGACTGGGTGTCCTTTTGGGGGTACAAGAAATATAAACCCTACTTCATATATCCTCTATACCCCTTTGTGCGCGAGTTGGTTTTGGGTTTTAGGGCTTAGCGTTGTAGGGTTGCAGGGTTTAGGGTTCTAGGGTTTAGGGCTGAGGGTTTTCGGGTACATGGGTTTAGGGTTCTAGGCTTCTAGGGCAATCGCTGTTCAGAGACTGAAAGATGATTGAATCTTTTTTGTTCAATGCCTCTGCCATTCAGAACCCAGCGGGTCCACTTGTAGCGTTTAAACCCTAAACCAAAAACCCTAAACCCTAAACCCTAAACCCTACCTCCCTCATTTCAGCCCTGTTCCCAGAACCCTGGGAGGATTGTGACGTCGAAGCCTCTGGTACCCCAGCTATTGGGTCATGGTTAGGATCCATCTACCCTGTTCAGCAAGTTCGGTTATCTGCCCTGAGCACACTTCGACCGCCAATGCCCTGAGGGCCAAACCGTAAATCCTAAACCCTAAAGCCCTAAATCCTAAACCCCTAAATCCTAAACCCTCGCCCCCAAGACCCTAAACCCCTAAATCCTAAACCCCTAAACCCCTAACCCCCTAAACCCTAAACCCTTCAACTGTCGAGCATAAGGCTCAGTACTGTCCCCGCCCCTGGAGCTCTCGGGCGTTCGGCTTGGCTCACCTGGACCAGCGCGTTCCTCCTCTGAATTGATTAAGTTTGGTGCCTAAACCCTAAACCCTCAGCGCTAAACCCCTGAGCCCTGAACCCTGAACCCTAAACCCTAACCCTAAAGCCCTAAACCCGAGGGAGGCTTAGTAGCGCTTTAGGGGCGAAGGTTTGGTGCACATGAGGGATGGAGGGGAGGAGTTGGGCTAAGGGGGTGGGAGCTTAGGTGTTTAGGTTTTCGGGTTTAGGGTTTCGGGTTTAGCGTTTCGGATTTAGGGTTTAGGGTTTGCGGCGCAATAAACTGAGCTTCGAACGCCTCAGAAACAAATCCGCCATGGCACCAGGAACTGAATTTGCAGAAGCCCTAAAGCCGACCGACCCCGCAGGACACAAGTGTTTAGGGTTTAGGGTTTACATAGGGTTCAGGGTAGAGTTCCCCCAGAGTCCCTAGAGAATTTCAGAACAAGCCGAACGGAGGACGGAGGGGGGGGGGGGGTTAGGGGGGGTGGGGGGTGGGGGTGGGGGCAGTGGGGGCAGGGGGGGACTGACGCACCCTAAACCCTATAAACCCTAAACCCCCAAAAAGCATCGAACCCTACACCGTAAGCCCTAAGTTTGGGCCTTTTTTTGGGTGATCCTCAGACCTGGCGAAAAACCGCTTCAAACAGAGGCTTGGGGCACAGTCAAATCAAGCAGCCAGCCAGATTTGCCAATTCATTTCCACTCGTGTAGTTCGTGCGCTGTGGGTTGAGATGCGCTGTGCTCAAGCGCTCCCCCCTCAGCACGCTTTCTTCTCTGAATGGCGGCGTCCTTTGTGACGCGCTATGGGGACGCGGCTGAGCCAGTGCCAGCTTCGGAGGCGCGTGTCTGAAGCCGAACCTTTTCCGAACCCCAAGCGCGAAAGCTCGAGGTGTGGACATCAAATTTGCCCGCCAAGCCCTCCTCGGTCAGAAGGGCGGCAGTGCAAAGGGTTTCTCGCAATTTCAGCAGTGGGTGCTCACCTAAAGTTATCACAGGGTGCTGTCAGCTTCAAGGTGACATCATCATCACAGTGACTTACCGCCCCAGGACGGCCGAGGTGCTGGCCTTCAGCTGCTGGAGGGATTCCGTTGCTGGCTTTGCTGCGTCGCCTCCTTGTGCTTTCTCCTCCGAAGCCACCAGCAACACCGCAAGACCCACGCAAGCAAGCAAGAAAAGAGCGAAGCACCCGAGAACCGCCTCCGCATCCTATACCTGTCGATGCGGATGTGCCATTCCAGCATGAAGACTTCCGACCGCTGGCGCTTCCAGGCTTGTATCGCTCCACGCGGCACTTTTCAGAAGCTGTGCTTACCAGCTTGCTTCCGAATGCTGCCACGTTGGACTGGCCTCTTTCAAAGGACGAAAAGTACTACCGCACCCTGCCAACTCAGGGTTCAAGGACTGTCGTCTTGACTGCTCTATATACATGGGGTTGCAGCAACAGCAACAACAACAACAACAACAACAGCAACAACAGCAACAACAGCAACAACGGCAACAACAGCAACAACAGCAACAACAGCAACAACAGCAACAACAGCAACCACAGCAACCACAGCAACGACAGCAACGACAGCAACGACAGCAACAACAGCGACAACAGCGACAACAGCAACAACACAAACAACAGCAACAAGAGCAACAGCAGCAGCCTCAGCAGCCACAGCAGCCACAGCAGCCACTGCAGCCACAGCAACCACAGCAACCACTGCAGCAACGACAGCAGCGACAGCAGCGACAGCAGCGACAGCAGCGACAGCATCGACAGCAACGACAGCAACGACAGCAGCGACAACAACGACAACGACAAAATCGACAACTGACAACCGACAACAACAAGAGCACAACCCACAACTAACTTTGAGCATAAGAGTAGCCACAGCAACTTCAGCGACGGCGACACTAGCAGTAGCAGCAACAACACACCAGCAGCAGCAGCAGCAGCAGCAGCAGCAGCAGCGGCAGCGGCAGCGGCAGCGGCAGCGGCAGCGGCAGCGGCAGCGGCAGCGGCAGCGGCAGCGGCAGCGGCAGCGGCAGCGGCAGCGGCAGCGGCAGCAGCAGCGGCTGCGAGCAAAGGCAACAACTACAGCCACAGTAGCACGAAGGCACCGCGATCACCACTACCGCCATCGCCTGCAGCCCAAACACGGCCGCCCGACCTCCCACGACCTCCCACGAACACGTGGTGCGACGTCAAGCTGGAGGTCGCTGTGACCAACGTGCCCCAGTTTGCCCGAGACCTTGTCGACGGCCTTGGTCTTCATTAACTGTTTTAAGTGCTTCTTACATAAGAATATTTTATTTTACCTATAGTCGACATGCCGCAGACCGTGTTTCCATTAAACCCGAAAAATTGACGAGTACGAAACTTGAAACTACGAAGCATCCTTGCCGCCTACATAATTTTTTCTTCGGTGCTTAACTCACTATAATTCAAAACTACTAAGGCCAGTAATATTAGCGGATTTTTTTTGATTGTGCTTTGAGTTACAGGCTCGGAACTTCACCCAAATGGGCCAAAGAGGTGAACCTGCCCAATGTACTGTCAACGGAACATGTCCTTCGTCGCCGGAGCGAAGGCCCCTGGCGTTGCGTGGGCCGGCGCATGGCCAAGCGTCGTGCGCCGTTCTTGCAACTTCGCCGGAGCTTGAGGCCGTGGCCCAGATGAGACATCGAATTGCGCGAGCCAACTCCAGACAGCCGTTCGGAAGTGTGGCTTCGCGCGCAATCGGGGAGCCAAAACTTCGGGTTCGCACCTTTGAGTCTGTTCGTCCACCCCTCTACTTCGTCCACCCCGCCATTTGATTACCCTAATTGGCTACACATAAGCTTCCGCGATCAGATGCCAAGGTCCTGGCTGCTGCCAGCTAAACACATTTGCAATTAAATACGCCCTGTTTACGTAGTTTTTGTTCGAGCCTAGCGCAAGCGCCGTAGTTGGTGTTATTTGAAAACCCCCGACACGCCCCGACATTGCCTTCGGTGAACATGTTCCGCACAACGGACCTTTTTGAAACATTGTTACTGGCCTTTCTGTTCACAGCTTGACTAAACATGCCAATCTGTTGCCGGGCTGAAAGGTATTGCGTTCGAGGCTGTTCTCAACATGGTTTAACCAGCTTGTGAGTGCACCGTATAAGGCAATCTGACAAAAACATCTGCAATTTCAGCAGCGAGTTGCTCGAGCATCTTTTTTCGACCCGCCCACAACCCTGCCACGAACGGCATTTCAGTCAGTCGTGAAAGCCCATGCAGAGGGCTAAGTGTTAAGGTTCAACGAAAATTATACCAGAATCGCAGAAGAGATCATTGAAAGGACAAGTGTTTAAAAGAACTCACGTGAGTGCGCGGGGCTATTGCATCCACATGTTAGCCATTGTGAGGAGCCCGCCTCTCCAATATCCTAGACATTATAATGGTCGGGGTGGAAGAGTTGTCTTGGATGAGGCAGTTTGGGTTTGAGTGTATTTCGGTGAAGCGGAAATCGTTTTAGTATTGCTTACAGTCACAGAACCTAAGTGTTAATTTATCCGCGGGATGGTTGACAAGGTATGAACGTAGTTTTTGCGTGGGGACATCTCTTTGTTTTGATATGGCATCTCCCTACCCATGTGTTGGTAAGTTGTTTTTGGAGCCTCGACAACCAAACCCCAAACCCTCAACCATTTTCCGGGTCTAAGATTGTTGGACTTTAGCACTTGTGGGCTTTGTGGCGGCCATGAGCCTTGTTTGGTTTATTGTTTCTTTAGGGTTTTGTTTTTGGTTTTTTTGGTTTTACTGTACGGTCAAGATCTGCCCCAAGGTTTCGTCCCTGACGATTCGACGTGGGGGAGCGGCAGGCACTGGGTGCTCAAGCTTTCAAATTTGAACCCAAAGTCCGAAACCCCTACTGCATGTCCGGGCTCCAATATGAGGGCCTGCCGCCTTTCTTGTCGTGATTCAGAGATTCCATTCTCAACTCCGTTCACACGCGACAGAAGCAGCTAGCCGTCGCTAAACCGTTTAGCTTAAAACCTTTAGCCGTAAGCCTTCCCTAACTAAGCCCTATCGGATCCTTGAAACGAAGTGGGGATCCTGAACAGAAAAGTGAAGGCGTTTTCGGGCGTTCCGGGCATACTTTCAAGGGGCCTTTAATCAAAGGGGTTTTAGAGTTTTAAGGTGCCGTAACCCCTAAAACCTAAAACCCTAAACCCTAAACCCTAAACCCTAAACCCTAAACTTCAAACTTGGACCCAAGGGGTTGTTGCTTGGGGCCATTCGGTGGAATATATGTCCCATGCTACCGAACCCCTTTCGGCCCTATACCAAAAACCTAGCCCATCTTACACGAAACCTAAACCCCTAACCCTAAGCCCTCGGCCCAGAAACACCCAAACCCCGGCTAAGGGGTCTTTACAAAAACTCTTCAGGTGTACATTTTTGGCTCCCAAGTTCTGGCATCTCATGGCCCGTAAACCGGGCCACGACGTGAGGTGGTTGAAAGCCCGAAGAAAGACCGAATGGGGTTGCACAGTAGGGTTGGGTTTAGGGTTTAGGGTGTTTAGGGCTTAGGGTGTTTTAGGGTTTAGGGTTTAGGGTTTAGGGTTTGGGCTGCAAAGTAGGGTAGAGTACAGGGTGGCTCTCGATTCTGGGGGGTAATTCTTCGGTTTTTCGGTGACGCACCTCGAATTTCGCATCATGTTCGAAAAATGTTTGCGGATTTTGATGCGATCTCATTGCTTCAGGAAGTATGTTTCTAATTACCCAGAGGGTCCTTTGTAGTACCATGATGGATTGGAGGTGCCAAAAAACCATAACTAAATAGGGCCTTTTGGTCTCAATTCCATAATAGTAGTCCAGAGGACCCCTATGGATGTTATTGTGATGAAGTCTTGCCGGTGTTTCGTAAAACCCCGCTTTGGTTGAGGAGCAAGTTTGCTCCATCATTTTTTATGGATGATCTGGGGTAGGGGCATTTTGTTGCACGCATGTTGTGTTTATGACTATACGTCATTGAGAGATGCCCTAAACCTAAAACCCTCAACCCTAATCCCTTCAAGGGTTTTACACTGCGATACAAGGTGTCGAATTTCTTGATCCCTGTTCAGACTATATCCAGGTTTAGGCGTTTAGGGTTAGGGTGCAGGGTGCAGGGGTGCAGGGTTATACACTGCTTTGTGCTTTGGAGACTTGGACACGGGGGATCGAGCTGAGTAGCTACGGCCAGGGTCGGAGCCCAACCCTTGACGTCAACATCCGGGAGTTTTCCTAACCCTAAACTAAACTCTTAACCCGAATTCGAAACCCGAAAACCCTAAAACCCTAAACCCTAAAACCTTAACCCTTAACAATTAGCCCGTTTTTAAACCCTAACCCGAAACCCTAAGCCTTAAACCGCGGTTGGTGAAGAGCTGGATGTAAACCTTCGCCCTTAACAATTAGCCCTTAACCCTAACCCGAAACCGAAACCCTTAACCTTAAGCTGCTAGTTGGTGAAGACCTGGATGTGTCCGGTCCGACCTTTCCGCTGCCTCACCGGATCTACCATCGAAGCACAGGCCGCAGCCGGCCCGTAACCCTAACCCTAAAACCCAAACCCTAAAACCCTAAACCCTAACCCAAACACCTAAACCCCAAACCCAACCCTAAACCCTCAAACCATAAGTTTAACTGAGGGCCCATTTTTGTGGCTTTGGGGTTTAGGGTTTAGGATACGATTTACGCAATTAGATGGGGTTCAGGGTGCAGGGATACGATTATGGAAGTAGATACGCAACGGCCCTTTTAGTTACGGTTTTTTGGGTACATCTTTCATGATGTACAAATGGACTGTAGACTACTACGGGCCGTCGAACGTGTCGGACATGCGCAGAATGACTCTTGCATCTTTGCTCGTCTCAACCATGTTGAATGGTGTATATTTCCGTCTTCAAAAGTCGCCAGATCATGTAACGACAACGCTTTAGGGTTTAGGGTTTAGGGTTTAGGGTTTAGGGGTTTAGGGTTTAGGGTTTAGGCGTTTAGGGTTTAGTTGGTTTTAGGTTTTACCTCAACATGTACGCAGGTGCCTTGGACAGGGCTTGGCATGTTGGGAGATCGGGCACTGCTTGCTGACTCAGGTCCCCCAAAGCCCTAAACCCCTTTAAACCCTAAACCCCTAAACCCGAAACCCCTAAACTAAACCCTAACCACCCTAAAACCCTAGCTGTTCTACGTGATTGGTGCGGGAACTATAAGGAATCGACATACTAGAGGGTTCCAAGTGACCCATACTTAGGTGACCACCAAACATCCCTTCTCAACCTCGCTTTTGAGCCATTGTTGCTCATTCTCTTTCGTTTTGTCTCTTTGTTTCTTTCTTTCTGTCTTTCTCTACTGTCCTCTATGTAGGGTTAGTTAGTTTTCTGAGTCCCTCTCTCTCCTCTTCGGCATGATTACGCGAGAGCGTAGAGCGCGGGAGGCGCGCGCCGCGGCGCCGCGCGCCGAACTCGAAAGCGCGCGGGCGAAGCGCGGCAGCGAGAGAAGGCGAGGCGAAGGAGAGTAGAAGAGAGATAAGAGAGGCAGAAGCGGAAGATGCAGAGCCAGAGAAAGCAGGAGGAGCGCGCGAGAGAGCGACGGAGAGAAAGAGCGAGAGCGGCGAGCGCGCGAAGAGAGAGCAGCGGCGAAGAGAGAGGAGCCGAGGCGAGCGAGATAAGGCGCAGGGAGAGAGCGGAAGCGCGCGAGAGGGAGACGCGTGAAGAGATCGCAGAGCAGAGAAAACGAGCGGCTAAGGAGAGAGACGAGCAAGAGTAAACGAGAGATGAGAAGCGCCAGATCCGTCCGCGAAGAGAGAGAGCGCAAGGCATAGAGCTTGATAGACTGCGATCATAGGAGTTCTGTATCGATAAGCGCATGCTACTCATCTATCTACTAGCTGAGCATCTCCCGATTAAGTCTAGCCTCCACTAAGATCTCGCAGTCCTCTTCCGATAGATCAATTATTTGTGGCTTTTGTGGCGGTTGGCCCTTAATGTGATGCGTTGGATTGAGCTATGAAAATAGAGGCAGCTATAGACTCATCTGTCTCAGAAGGCTCTGACTCCTCTCTACATCTCATTATCTCCTCCTCATCCTATCGTTAAGTCAGATAATCTCTCTCTGCATCTAAGATCATGATAGCTCCATCGAGATTCTCCTATCCTCTTCTCTACTGTTCTACTATAACATCTCCTCTCGCTCCTATCTCTCCTCTCTCTCCTCTCCTCTCTCTCTATCCTCTCTATCCTCCTTCCTCTCTCTCCTCCTCTTTTCTCTCTTCTCTCCTCCTCCTCTTCCTCTCTTCCTCTTCCTCTCTATCCTTTTCCCTATCTTCCTATCTTCCTCTCTCTCTCTCCTCTACATATTCTCCTCTCTCTCTCCTCTCTCTCCTCTCACTCCTCTCTCTCTCTCTCTCTCCCTCCGTCTCGCGCCTCGAGCAACTACCCATCGGAACTCGTGCAAGCGCGACACACGAATGGGTTCCGTATTCAGACTTAGGGGCAGAACCACAAAACTGCTGGGCTCTTCCACTACATACCACCACCCTAAACCCTGAACACCAAACCTACAACCCGCCGGATTTAGGGTTTTAGGTGTCAGGGTCTGGAGTTTAGGGTGTAGGGTTTAGGGGATACCCGCCGGATTTAGGGTTTTAGGTTTTAGGGTTTAGGGTTTAGGGCCCCGAACAGCTGCTCATGGCCTTGGCTCTGGCACAGGCGCTCTCGCCTCTTCCGCAAGACGTCGCCGATGCCCGCATGGTGGAGTCAGGCAATCCCGAAACCTCCACACCTTAGGGTTTCGGCTTTTTA